GTGCGAACCTGTCTGGTTTCCCAGCATGCGGTTGCCCCTAAGACCATCGCGTGCTGACCCGATGTCCGTCACCTCGGCGTCGGCCTGAAGGTCTGCCGTATTTATCTCAGTGCGTGGGATGGTTAGAATGCACTCCCGCGCCTCTCTCTGATCACCTCGGTGAGTCCCTTCTCCGTCGGAAGTTGGGAACTTGAGGGAGTAATGAAATATGGAGACGGCGGCCTTCAGCTTGTAGAGAGCCGTTCTCCCCAAAATGGCGTTATATTCGCTTGGGCAGTCCACGATTTTGAAAGTTTCTAAGATTGTCTTCGTGGGCTGCCCCCTTTCTCCGAACCGGATCGGCAGTGTGACCTGCCCGACGGGGGCGACGGTTTGCCCATTGAAACCCTGGATCCTTTCACAGCAGGGCTGCACCTCCTTCCTGTCGATCCCCATCTTCTTGAAGGTATCGTAGTAGAGGATGCTCGCGTATGCCCCGGTATCTACCATGATTTGGTGAATCTTTATCGCCATAATCGGCACCGTGATCACCAGGGCGTCAGAATGAGGGTGATCGAATAAGAAGGCGTCTTCATCGGTGAAGGTGATGGTGTTTGGGGTCGGCTCCGGCGCCGGCCTGTTGTTGGCGTGCATCACCCTTTGCCCGACATGGTAGGCCTGCCGGGCGTAGGCCTTGGTTTGCCTCCTGGAGAGGAGGGACCCGCTCCGGCTTGTGTTGACGCGCCGGGTTGGGTAGTCGGCCGGGTCGGCTCCGGCGCGTGGGGACTGGTCTCTCTTTCTGCCCCTAGAGGTGCCGGCCTCGTCTTGGTGGGTGGGGAAGAAAGTCATGATTTCGTGGGGGCCTCCCTGCTGTGGCTTCTTCCTTCGAGGATTCACGTCGGCATCCTCGTCACTGTCGGGGCCTTCCTCAAAGCGGCCTCCCTTCTTCCTCTTTTCTCCGGAGTGGGTGAACCTCCGGAGTTGGGGATCATCGATGAGTTTGAGCAGTGCCGAGATCAGGTTTCGGCACTGGTCGGTGTTGTGCCCGTGCGCCTTGTGGTAGGTGCAGTAGCGGGTCTTGTCCACCTTATCCTTGTCGGTGAACATGGGCTTGGGGTCCGGCAGCAGCCCCTTAGCCTTGATCTCCTCATAAACCGCCGCGGCTCCCACCGAGAAGACGCTGTGGTAGCTTTCCTTCAGCTCCTCAGTCCTTTGTCTTCGCTGTGCTCGGATTTCAGCGAAAGACTTGCTCGGCTTCCCCGATTTTTCTTCCTTCGCCTTCGCCTTTGCTGGCGCCTACGCAGTATCAAACGTAGGGATGGAAGAGGACTCCTCCGCCATTATATAATCCTGAGCGCGGGCGAAGAACTCCTGGTAGGTGGTCGACTTATTCTGACACAGGGACCACCTAAACAGCGTTTTCGGTCTCAGACCGCCCTGAGCAGTGATCAACAAGGCGTCGGGATGGCACCGCTCCATATTTTGGACTCGGTCGTTGAACTGAGCGATGTAGTCCTTCAAGCTCCCGTTCTCGCCCTGAACGATATTGGAGATGGACTCTTTGGGAGCGAGATTGACTTGCGATCTGATAAAGTGTGACCGGAACGCCGACCTGAGCTGGGCCCAGGTGGAGATGGAATGGGGGTAAAGAGAATGATACCATCTCTGCGCCTTGGGCCCCAACGTCAAGGAGAACATGCGGCAACGCAGGGCGTCAGAGGCGCCGTGCAAGTCCATCCATGAGGTGTAGAGGTCGATGTGGGAGTCGGGGTCCGAACTCCCATCATAGAGGCCGAGCTGTGGCACTTTGATCTTTTTCGGGACGGCCTCCTGTAGGATGTCGGAGGAAAGAGGTGAGGCGTTGTCTACGACTCGGGGAGTGGGTCGTATGCAAGGCTGTGGGTAGGCTGGGAGTGACAGCTCACTTCCGGAGGGCTGCCGACCTTCCAGTTCGGCAATTCTGCGTTTGAGGGCCGCGACTTCCTCAGTGTCGTGCCCTATGGCTTTGCTCCGCCTGATCACCTTCCGGAGATCACGGTTGGCTTGGCTCTTGTCACTTAAGCGTTGGTGGACAGAGCGGCGGACGACCTGGAGGCTTCGCTCCGGGCGGCTCTCCTCCGTCTGCTCGGTAGGAGCCGGTCTGGTGCTTTTGTCACGGCGATTCTGGGCCTCGCGGTTCGGCGACTGTGCCGTGGTTTTGGATTTCGTCGGGTTCCTTTGCCCCCGGCCTCCTTCTCGGGAGTGTGGAGCAGGGTGTTGCCGAGGTTTTCCGTGGGCACCACGGTGTTTGTCCCGGCTGTCCGGCTGGTGAGGGCCTTAGCGAAGACCCCCTCGAGGGCTTTGAGGTCGTCGGGGTGCTGCAAAGCTGCGGCAAAGGTAGGGACTGGTGGAACAGGGACTATGGGTCCCTGCTGGGCACGACGGGAGGTCTGCGTCCACGAGGCTGGGAGCTGGACTGCTGGGTGGAGTCATCATGGCCGGATGAAGGCATTTTGAGAAGTTTTTTGGAAGTGGAAAAAGTAGGAAGAGATGAGTGCGAAGTGGAGCTCCACAAGATCGAAAAATTGACACCAAGTAACTTATGGTGCCCTCCTTCTAGCGCCAAACTGTTGACGGACGTTTCCGATCAACGGTTAAAAAGATGAATAATAAAAGGGTAATGAGAAAAAGACAAAGAAATAAGGTTTAGTTATGATTTTATTGATCGATCGCGAGGTCGGCCTCTCGTTCGAGGTCGGCACTTGCAATATCCTTACAGATTCTTACAAAGTTTTTACACGAGTGTAGAGAGAGAAAGTAGAGAGAGTTCAGACAGTTTAGATTCAACCACCCAAATTAAATGAAGTGGGCTGCTATTTATAGTGGCCTTAAATGTGACACTGTTCAGGCACTGTTTACCAGTCTTGTCGTACAGTGTTCTTACAGAGCAGTCCGGCGCCTCCCTGACAGAATTCAATGCGATTTGAGGTTTTCCTCATCATTGTCTGACAAGCATTTAATGCACACAGGTGCCATTTAATGCTGGCAGGCTTTATGTCATGGCTAGAGGAGGCAGGTCAGCAGGTTAGGACGCCCCGTCCAATCACCAATGATTACTCTCCAAGTGGCATTATTATACTATTATCGAGATCGGCATTCCTCATTGGAGGTCCGTTCTGAGGCCCCAGGTCGGCACATTTTCCTTTTTTGTTCCTCCAGTTCCGGGGAGCCTTCCTTCAGGTCGTCACTCGTCAGGCCGGCATCGGGACTTTACCCGTCACAAACGCTGGGCTAACGGACTGGCTCGCAGGTGGGTCAAGGTCAAAAAGTTTCGGAGTCCAGCTCGGCACCTACGCGTTAGACCGGATCTCCGGTTCAGCTCGCGAGCTCAGGTGTCAACAGGGGACTCGGTGGGCGAGAAAATATCCAACGTCGACTTTCTGACTTTTTTTCACACCACGCCGAGCCTTTCGTTCATCTCCTCAAGCTTTTGCTTAAGGTTGCCATCCTTATTTGTGAAACTTCCTCTCCTGAGATCTCTTTTGGATCTGACCTCGGCTTCATCGTTGAAGGCTTTAGAACCTTCGCCATGGCTGGCTTCTCTATCCTTTTGACTTAAGGATCTTTCAATTTCCAACATACCCTTCATCAAGATCTTCAGTTCCAGGAGTTCTTTTTCCATTCTCTGCAGTCGTTGGGCCTCCATCTCCGAGGCGGCTGGACCTTGAGGACCTTGGCCTTGGCTAAGGTTAGCCTGAGGGTTCGCGTGGCTTCCTTGGGGTTGATCGTGTTGCGAAACGCCTCGCGTCCCTCGACTTGTTTTTCCCCTCTTCCATATTGCCATGAATCCTCTTCCTAAGTCGTCTTCTCACAGACGGCGCCAACTGATGATACAAGAAATACTTGACGTTAGTTTGAGGACACGTGGCGGCGATGTATGCTCCGACGTCCTCTTTGGTGCGTCTCCTTTGCTCCGACGCCTGCAAAACAGATTCCCGGAGTTGTCCCCAGTGGTAGATCCTTTGATGCCTAAGTTAGAATCAGTTTCAGATTTTAGGGTGGTGGCTGTAGAATGAGTAGAGGAGAGAGTCTATCTCTTACATTAACCTAGGTCATCCTTTTATAGAGGTCGGATGACCTAGGTCTTCCCTATGCAGACAGAAGACTTCCCAGCCTGCTAGCTTAGTGGACTATGGTCCACCAGTTGGGCCAACTTTAGACCTTGGGTCTAAAGTGAGACTCCTCAGGCCCTTAAGGCCTAAGGTGAGACTCATCGGGACCTTAGGTCTAACTTGAAGTTGGGCTTCAGCCTTGAACTTGGACGCTAACGGTCCTCAGAATACACGTGTCTTTATTCTCCCTAGCTACATATCGCCTAATAAATATACATTTTCTCCCTTATCAATACGATTTATTATTATTGTCTCTTGCATGGCATATAGTACATTGAAAACAAGTGAACTGTAAATCATTTTGGATAGTTAAGCTCCGAAGTTCAAACATAGAATTGGGATCCAATTTAAATTATCAACTAACAGTCGCCTTTGATACCTGTGGGCTGTGGAAGGTCAATTACATGTGATATTATTGAATAAGGAAAATATGGCAGTTAATGTGTTGTTTACGCGATGTGTAGATGTTGCGTAGAAGGGGAGGACGCAGCAGCCAAGTAGACAGAAGAGAAGCCAATGGTATTGGTCGCCAGATACGTGTGCAATGACACAAACTCACGCGGATAATTCCATTTGACCAACCAACACTTTTCCCCCTCTCCCTTTGAATGGCCGACCTTCTTTCAGGGGCCGATTTTGCTGGTTTTCTCACCCCCTTTTTTTCTTATTATATCCTCACTTAAAAAGACAACTGCTTGCCAGCAACGCCACCAGTACGACATTCAGTACCACTTGTTTCACAAACCCATCCCATCCACAATTTTATAAAAATAAAAGTAAATTCAAAGCATTTCCTATATATAAATACCCCACTACACACACTAATCAAAATTCAAAACACAAAATAAATAAAAAAAGAAGTTACAAGCCATGATACTCTTATCACAAAAATTAAGCCGTCCCTCCAATAAAAAACAGCCCCATCATACCCTATCGTCTTCCCTCCACGATTTCCGGTCGAGAATTTCCGATTTCATCTCCCAGGCCCGATTTGGGCCCAATCGGGCTGGGCTTGAGAAATGTTTCGACCTGATAAACACGGCCAACTCGGCTTTCGCAATTATGGCGGCCCAAATAGACCACCCGATGAGCAAATGGGGCGAAAATCTCACCGAACGATACCTTAGCTACACGCTGACCCTGCTCGGCCTCCTCAACTCGGTCAGCTCATCCCTTTCCCATCTAAACCGGGTCAAGATGTCGAACGCGTGCGGTTGCCTGAAGAAAATCCAGAAAGAAGAATTTGACCCGAGTTTCAAACCCGAGAGTGCGATGAGTAGGGAAGAAAATCCCGGTTCTTACAAGGACCGTCTTCTCCTTGATGGTTTGTCGGTTTTGGAGAAGATGGGGCTTCTGGCAATGGGTTTTGTGTTGTCCGGTTTGTGCAGCGATGGTAAGGCTTACATGGAGATGAGAAGTTGTGTTGGTGGATTTGAAGACTCGTTGACAAAAGAGTTGGATTCGAGATTGTGTAAGGAGGTGATGGGGAGATTGGATGAGGTGAAGGAGGTCAATGTTGCGGTGGACCGCCTTTCGGAGGTCAAGTGTATTGATGGTGTAGAAGAGTTGAAGCTGAGATTGGAGGTGCTCGATTGTTTGATTCAGGGGATAGAAAAGCAAGCCAATGCTCTGTTTTCTCATGTTTTAGGTGTAAGAAATAAGTTGATAGACAACATTAGGTTGACAGGGTAGAACACCTGTGCTCAAGTTCAATTTTTTTTTTTAATTAGTATAGCATGAATTTCAGTTTTTCTGTACATCAACAAGTGTTGTGTATAAAATTTGGAGACTGCAAGCAACCATATTGCTGTTGGATATGATTCATTAATTGATATTTCAGTACTATTTCTTTTGTAAAATCTTGGGAAAAAATATGGTTGTGGTGTCCTAACTATTCTCATTTTCACTTTTGATCCCTATGTATTTACTTAATCTAATTCTATTTACATACCATATCTATCATCTGTCGATAGCTATTGATACTTTTTGTTGGTCAGTCGTCTTCTACTAACAGCTCACCTGTTACAGCAGGTTAAATGTTGTTATAAAGGATAGAATTATGCTCTTCTCTTGGTAGTAGCAAGAGCCCTCTGCTTTCGACAAAAAAAAAATTGCAGAGAAGTGAAAGAAGGATCATACTTTCGCCCGCTAAGGTAACTCTTTGGCTTTAAGCTTCATCTGCCTCAGATTCACTAGATGATTAAATAAAAATAAAATGAGTTTTTTAACGGGTTTATTGCACCAAATCTCTCTGTATTATATGAAATCTGTGCGTTTTTCCCTGCTATTTCAAAAATTACGTCAAACACCCTTGTATTTAATATCTCCATGCATACTCGCCATTAACCATTTGATGTTAATGGCGTTACTTTTTCATCGAATTTACCACTGCACCGTTACTTTATCAATTAATTTACCATTATATCCTTATTGTCAAAATCGAATTTACTAGTGCACCGTTACTTTATCAATTAATTTACCATTATATCCTTATTGTCAAATATGTTGACTTAAAAATAAAGTCCCAAGGGTGGAGATTGAACCCATGATCTTTGGGTTATAAAAACAAACTCTCCACCAACTGGTGTTATGAAAGTGATTTCATATATATATATATATATATATATATATATATATATATATATAGGGTCGCGCTCCGGTGAGAATAGTACTCAATGAAAGAAATAAGAATAAATCCTAGCCACCGGATCGGATAATCTAGTGGCTTAAAAAAATCCAATATTAAAAACACAGTAAGGGTATTAATGTAATTTGTGCTCAAAATTAATGTGTGCCCACCCCATTCTCACTCCATTATCGGTTCCCCCACCCATCCCACCACAGACACACACACACACTGCGCAGGGTAGCCCGCCGTCCGTTCCTCATCGCCGGCGAGATTCTGCCGTCTTCCTCCCCGAACATCCCCGCACTTTCGCCCGGAATAAAAATGCGCCGTCGATCTCCTCCAATTGTTCCTCCATCTCCGTCACACCTTCCTCCTGCGGCTCATTACTCTAAGCAGCTCCGACCGACCACCTTATCGCCGCCGTCTGGTCCGACGCCGGAGCTCTCATCGCCATCGTCCTCCATTAAACGGCCACTGACTGTAACGTCTTGTCACCTTCCTCCGCCGCATAGCCCAGCCGTCTGCAAGTGTTGAGCGTGAAGACACCTCCGACCGACCATCTTCACCCTGGTGGTCGTCATTCCTTCCCGTTGTGGTCGCCTTTCCTCCGCCGTCCACCATCGGAGAAGACGACCTGCTATGGTCACTTACAGAGAAGACGAACCGCTATTCACTGGATCGGCCCAATTCTGGTTGCAATGTCCGATCAATTATCGAAACCAAAATTGATGAACTTGGTCGCCGGCGAGGTCTTGGCGGGACAGAGAACGCCCGGAATGTTCGACGGCGTCAATTACAGTGGCTGATGTGATGAGGAGACCATTAACAGAGATTGAAATTGGGGGGTTTGTGTTTTGAAAATTTGATATTCTATAGGGGCTGGATTGCAATTTTCAAAAATTAAAATATATTACAATTTAATTATTGGGTCAAATTTGCAATTTATTAGAAATATAATAAATGCAAACTATATTCAATTAAAATAAGTATACTATGTGTATATGCACATTGCAAATATCATCACTACAAACTACAATAATAATAATAAACCAATAAGCAATTTATTTAATATAAATTATTAAATAAAAAATACTAATATTAAATATATATTCATAATATACATAATAATTCATTAAGAAGGATTATATTAATTTGATGGACTGATCGAATGACTATTGTTTTTCAAGGAACAATAATATAACATATTAAATAACAAAATTACAAATATTAAATATATTTTTATAATAAAAAAAATTGATAAAACTTTAACATGAAAAATTTTAATATACAAAAAATATATCACTAATAAATATACATTTATAATAATAAATAATAAATTATTTTAATTATTTAGGTTAGTTTGATGTACCATTATATCTACTAAATATAGTTTTAAAAAAACATACTTTATATGCGCTCATATAAAGTAGTGCACTTTATATATCAACACGATGCACTTTATAAAACAACATGTTGCACTTTATCAACACACTCCACAATTAATGTCAACAGCTACCGTCAAAATATTTGGCTATATAAATCTAATCATTAGATCTACATAATACTTTAATATTCATCACATCATCTATACAATAAAAAAAACATATGCATGCTAACGTACCAAAATTC